ATATTTCCTATTTTCAAAATTTCCTATTTTCCATACAGAAAAGAAATAGGACAAACCAAACCACTGAGCCCGAACTAAGCTCTGATTAAAGCCTTTTACTAGGAGCCAAAGGGCAAATAAAAATAATGCTGCTAGTTAGCATGTTCAGAAAAGATAGAGAACAGAATTACTATGCCATCCTGAATTAGCCTAGACTTACTACCAGGAATGATACCAAAAGTTTAAAAAAAAGCATGTTCTCCTATATGTCAGGCAAAGATATTTGGACATAACAGCAGTAACTCACACATCATTTCTTTTTTTTTTGGTACCGGGGATTGAACCTGGGTCCTTGCACTTGAAAGGCAGGTGGCGGAACCACTGAGCTAAATCCTCGGCTAACACATCATTTCTTAAAGAATTAAACACATTAAATATTTAAAGTAACTGATAATTTTTTACATGTGTGTACATATGCACGCACACGTGCACACACACAAACACAAAGAAAAAAGTGAACAAAAAAACCCACTGAACTGGTAATAGTGGTAATACTTAGGTAATGAAATGATAGATTACTTTTTCCTTGTCCATAGGTTTATATTATATAATGAACATATTATACTTTTATTATCAGAGGAAATTAAGTATCTTTTTAAACAGTTAATTTAAAGAAAAGAACCTCCAATATAATAGTAAGCCATCAAGTGTTCCTGCTATTTTCCAAAGGGTCAAAGATGAGCAGACTGGATTTGGAGGCCACTTTTCCTACCATGCAGGACAATCTACTGAAATCAGAACACAAACAGAACTCAAGAAAACTCAACCACAAGAAATATGGACAAGCATAAAGACAGGTGCTACACACCCAGCAAACACATAAACTTGCTTGTTCCAGGTTTTAGTTTTTGTTTTTTTGGGTTTTTTTGGTACCGGGGATGAACTCAGACCTTGCACTTGCTTGTAAGGCAGGCGGTGGCACCACTAGGCTAAATCCCTGGCCTATTGTCCCAGTTTTTATCGGCCAGCCTTTTGGTGACTCCTACCGGGATTCTGAAAAAAATACAGTCACTTAACAAACTTAATGTCTGGTAGCAGAAAATATGGAACTATGATCTAGCCAGAGAACCAATGACTACTAAGATGTGCAAAGGCCACTGCAGATTTTCTAGCCAGTCTCCTCTCAATACCATCACCCAGACAATGATGAATATTCATTATTCACTGAAAAGGCCATGTACAGTCAGTCAACTATAGTCTGAAAACATTAATCAGGAATTTCAAGAAATAAACAATTCATAGGTTTTTTTTGTTTTTTGTTTTTTGGTACCAGGGATTGTTGAACTCAGGTCCTTGTGCTTGTGAGGCAAGTGGTGGCACCACTGAGCTAAATCCCCAGTCCAACAATTTATAGGTTTTTGATTGCACACCATTTTGAATAGCATGATATCAATTACTATCATATTCTGAACTTGAATCATCCCTTTGTCGAATTTATCTACACTGTCTATGCTACCTGTCTGTTATTGATTCTGTTAGTCACTTAGTAGCCACCTAAATTAACCAATCCACTACCAGGACAGAGCATGTATTCAGGTAACTCTTCATTATTTAAAAATGACTCTCAAAGCACAAGAGTAATGATGCTGGCAATTTGTATATACCAAAGAGAAGCCATGAAGTGTTTAAGTGAAAAGGTAAAAGTTTTCAACTTATTAAGAAAGGAAAAACAAGGGCCGGGGATTTAGCTCAGTGGTTCTGTTGCCTGCTTTGCAAGAGCAAAGTCCTGAGTTTGATCCCCAGTACCAAAAAACAAAAACAAACAAACAAAAATTTTTCTTTTTAGTAAAAAAAATTTTTAAAGGAAAAATAAATCATATGCTGAAGCTGCTAAGATCTAAAGTACAGTAAGATATTTTGAGAGAGACTACATTAGTGTAATTTTTATTATAGTATATTGTTATAATTATTCTATTTTATTATTAGCTATTATTAATCTATTCTGTGCCTGGTTTATAAATTAAATTATCATAGATATGTGTACAAGAAAAAGAAAGTACAGTATATGCTGTTTGGTACTATCCACAGTTTTAGGAATCTATTGCGGGGGGTGTTGCAGATAAAGGAAGTCTACTCTAGCCAGGAGTGGTGGCACATGCCCATAATCCCAGCTTTTGGGAAGCTGAGACAGAAGGATCACTGTGAGTTCAAAACCAGCCTGGCTACATAGTGAGCTCCAGGTCAGTCTCAACTACATAGTGAGACCCTGTCTCAAAAAACCAAAAAAAAAAAAAGGAAGTCTACTCTAAAGGCTAACTACTAGGATTCAGCACTATCCTACACATTGTGGTGAATATAAAAGACAGAAGGTATAATCTCACACAGCTGATGGAGACAGACAAATCAAAAGTATTTAAGGGGCCAGGGATTTATTTAGCTCAGTGGCTCTGCCACCTGCACTGCAAGCACAAGGACCTGAGTTGAATCCCCAGTACCCCCCCAAAAAAAAGTATTTAGGTAACATAAGACAACAAAATTAAATGACTAAATGATATATATATAT